ACCCATCTTGGAAAATGATGAGTTGCCGTTAGCAAGTATTTGAAACTTTGACATGAAAATAAGGGTCCAACAGTATGAATCTGAACATGTTGAAAATGTTCAGGTGGAACCTTGAAGTCCATTAGAACTGACTTTGTATGTCTTTGAACTTTAGATCGTTGGCTTCCATGCATTCCCTACACCATAACTGACAATCTTTATTGATATTTTGGCCATATGAATCTTTTTGTGATTAATTTTCTTGCGGTTCTAATCCCTGTATGACACAGGTTATGAATATAAGAAAATATTTGCCAGCAAAAGTTTGAGGGGATTTATTTGTGGTTACTGTTGGTGGAGACATCACAATAAATTGATTTGTTGGTGCCTGGAATAAGAACCCCAACCATTCTCAGTTTTGGGTTGTTTTTTAAAATTGTTAACTCTGCATTATTTTGAAATTCTGCAATAGTTACCTAATCAATTGGAGATGGTATTAATTCCAGAAAGTGTACCTGCAACAATGTTTTCTTCTCCTTTGACGAAGCAAATATTTGTTGAAAATTGAGCAATATAACTCAGTTGTCTTGCTTGTCTGGGAGAGGCTTTGTCTAAATTTTGTTGAAAAGCAAAGGTGATAGGTTTGTGGTTTGTATAAATGTTGAAAAACCTTCCGTCTGATATATACATAAAATGCTTTATTGCAGTGTAGATGGACAAGAGCTCTCTATTATATGCACTGTACTTTCTCCGTGTGTCAGTTGAGTGTGAGAAGAAACGCAACGGATCTTTGATCAATTTGATGAATAATGGCCCTGATAGCTGTATCTGAAGCATTGCATGTGAGAGATATAGTAACGTCAGTTGATTGATGGAGCAGTGTAGTTGCATGATAAAGCGCATTTTTTAGGTTTTTGAATGCATTGCAAGAATCTTGAGTCCATGTTAGTGGTATTTTACTATTTTTATATGTTACACTGAGTAATGAGGTTAGAGGTTATTGAAGCTTGGCACACTTTGGGATGAAACGGTGATAAAAACTGATTATTCCTAAGAACCTGTGGAAGCTGGTAGATGATGTGAGTTCGGGTATGTTTCGTATGGCATCAACTTTTGTCTGAAGAGGTCTTATTCCTTCAGCCCCCAATAATTAAGTTTAGAAGTGCCAAAAATACATTTTGCAACATTGATGCATAAACCATAGTTGTTTAACCTTTGAAAAACTGTATGCAGTACTTATGGTGTGACTCTTCATCTGTCGAAGCGATTAGTATGTCATCTAAATAGCAGAATGTAAAGTCTAATCCTAATAGTACCATATTCATGAATCGCTGAATTGTCTGTGCCGCGTTAACCAAATGTCTGAATGGGAATTCAAACAGCCCCAAAAGCGTTATAATGGCCGCTTTTGGGATGTTGCCTTCATGCACTGCAATTTGTTGATAAGCTCTAATTAAGTCAATGGATGAAAAAAATCTTCTTTCTGTGTAGAACATACCCACAGTTGGGGTGAGGAACGGTAGAGAATATCGATCTGGAGTGATGCTATTATTAAGAGCCCTGTAATTTTCACATGGCCTTCAATCGCCTGATTTCTTTAAGGTGAGACTTAGAGGGCTGGCCCAACAACTTTTTGAAGGTCTGCAAAAACCTTGTTGCAACATAAACTCAAATTCAGCTTTTGCTGCTTTTAATTTTTCGTTGAGAGTTTTCTGACCCTAGTCATTACAGGAGCCCCCTTAGTTTCAATGAAATATTCAATGCTGTGACTTTTGATTTTATTATTGACGAGCGTTGGCGACAAAAGATCTGGAAATTGTTTGAGGTTTACTTCGTACTGATTCTGTACTGCATGAACCATTGGTGAAACGACACCATAGGAGAGGTCACCAATAGAGAACAATGAAGTGATGCCATCAATTTATGATTTTTGCTGTCAACCAAAAGGTGAAAGTGAGTCAGTACGTATTATTGGTTTATTAACATCAGCTATCACAAAAGGCCTATCAATTGCTTTTATTAGTCCCAAATCCAGTTTTAGCAACTTCTGCCCATAAGTCTTAATTTTCGTTCCATTTGCAGTGAAGAGTTCCAGCTTTGCAATAGCGTTTTTCTTCTGATACTTAGTGGAATCGCAGAAATTTCAGCTGCAATATTGATTAAAAATTGGGTGGCACTCTGCTTGTCGGGAATAAAAAGACGACACACCCCTTTGCCCTCTGTCGTCTGCGAGAGTCGGGGATTTAGTTTTCCTGCAGTGGCAAGGATGATCGCATTTGAAAGCCTTATTGCCAAACCTAAACTTTCATTTTCGCTACTACGCCTGTTAATAGAATTATTTCTAGAGCGGGATCTGAGCTGTTGACATCTAGAAGAATGTCTTTTATTCAGTTTGCTAACTTGTGGGGATAATTCTGAAATCTGCTCTTGTAGTTTAACTAAAACATTGTCATCTCTAGAGCAAGCTACAGCAGCATTCTGATGTTTCGTGAATTTTATTTCTCACAGTTTATCGACAATTGTTACCAATTTGGCTAAATCGTCACTGCTCATGAATAAAATGCTCGAAATTGCTGCGAATAATCTTTGAAGCGAGAGAGTTTTTAAGAAAAGCTTCACGTACCTTATCTGAAACTAAATTCTTCATTTCACATAAGAACTGTGAATGTTTTCGATCACCCAATTCCATCTCAGTTAATAATTTTTGGGTCTTTTGTGTTTCGGTTTCAGTGAAGATGGAAATTGGTCTGTCCTTAACCCTTCTCGTACTTTAACGAGTCTGACCAGTTAATAATTTTTGGGTCTTTTGTGTTTCGGTTTCAGTGAAGATGGAAATTGGTCTGTCCTTAACCCTTCTCGTACTTTAACAAGTCTGACTTGTGATGAAGATTATGTCCCAAACATAAGCATCATGAGCAGACTCGTGAACAGAAAGTTTTTTTTTTTAGTTTTTTCTGATTACAAAAGTTTACACTTGTGCATTTCTGCATCATTTGCCTTTGCTAAAATTGTTAGTCTCGGTTTGGGATCTCTTAACCAGTTGCAGCCTTTTCCATAGAGGTTGCCAAGGTATTTTGCGGGATATATTGCCCCAAAACAGCAGTTTTATGAGCATTGTAAATTGTTCTGGTGATAACTTTTCACTGTTAATGAGCTCAATGAATTCATCTGCAAATAGTTGATCAGCTGAAGCTATTCCACCTGAAATTTGTTATTGCCTTGTACCATGGCAATTTTTTAATTTGGTTAACCAACCTGTCGAATACATGCACTCTTTTTAGATTAATTTCTTTATGAAATGTTTTGGCCTTGAGCCATTAGCATTGGAATGATTGGAATGTCAATTGCATGCCCTTGCTGCGACGCTGTCTGATCCATTCAATCATCACTTTGTCATGATTGTCACTTTTAGCATTGGATTTTGATCTGTCAGCACTATCCTTATCTTCAGGGCAGATGTTTTCATTTTATTTGGCTTATAATTCCTTACTAAATGTAGTATTTCATCTCGATGTATTCCGTCTTGATATGATTTAAATCAAATTCCTCTTCATTATAATTCGCTTCCGATAGTGAAGAAAGTGACGCAGAGGTTATTGAAAACGAAAAAAATTCGATTGACAAATTAGTCAGTATTCTCGACACAGCAATTATAGCACTTGAACAGCGAAATTTTGTAACTGAACAAGAAATTATGTCTGTTTATAGAAAAAAAAAGTTAAAGAGAAAGTATTATCGCATAAAACGAAGCAACTTAAACAACTTACGTTAAAAGAAATTTTTAATAAAGTAAACAAATAAATATTAAGCTTTTTTTTTTTTTTTTTTTGTAATTTTGATACCCTTTAAATCATAATTGCTCTTTATTTCATAAATTACGGTTTTATATTTTTAATTTTATAATTTCTGCATGCCATCTTATCAGATTTAAACTGATGATCTATAATGCGGAAAAATCGATAATCCGGAATCGCCGAAGTCCCGACGAGTCCGGATTAATGACTTTCGACTGTATTTATTTAATGCCGAAGTGAAATTAAGAATCTGGACTTTATATACATGCTTTATTTTTTTGGAGAAAAAATCAAATGTGCTTGCGTAAAGCATACCTCCCTCCCCAAAATACTATTTAAAAAAGAAAGAAGTTGTTAGTGGCTTTGAGGTTCGGATTTTACCTTATTCTGGATATTGGACATCTGAATCTTGGACTTTGTACCATATTAAATGAAAGCAGAGATGTTACGAGTGTGGTGTGCTGTCATGCTTATTTATAATTGATGCTAAATTGCGCTGCTTGGTCACAGTTTCACAATTGATGGGATAATGCATAAGTACCTTTTTTTTTAATTAAATGTTTACTCAGTATAAAGTCTGAAATCTGGATGTCCAATATCCGGAATGATCTAATAACCAGACCTCCGGATGCCAATCTAATAAGTAAATAAATATATAAAAAGTTCCCTTCCCTGCTTACAGAGTGTAGAAATGGAGAATATACTACTCAGCAAAAGAAGCGAGGTGTACCATAAACACCATTTTTCTCCCACCAACCGAGATTCCCTGCATGCATTTTTCCTGTTAGCATTTTTCTGTTTGACCTAAACAATAAGTGAAGCCCTAATGTTGTCAAGTCTACATGTTATTCTACTAGATTTAAACTTATGATCTAAAATCTATAATTTGGACATTATTTTACTAGACATTATAGTGCATTTAATGTTTTTGGATTAAAGCAAATAATGTTTTCATCTTGTAATTTTTCTAAGCCAGTTTAAATCAAGAGAAAAGCAGTTCCATTTATGCTCACATTTTATTTTTCTTGCACATTTATTTAGCTATATTAAGTTAAAAAACTCTTTGAAAATGAGAATTGGATTAAATTAAAGCTATTAATTTCATTATAATGTAGTGTGAACTGTTGCTATTATTTTTTTACCTAAATAAAAAAAGAGGGGATTTTTAATCATAGTTTTTGTCATAGTGAGCTGTGTTGGTATTTAAAAAAAATATTTTATTTCAAGGGAGCAAATGCCTCACAGCTGGAGAAAGAGATTGGACATGATCAATTTCCTTCTAATGAGCATTACTTTGGTTTGGTGAACGTAAGTATTTTAAAGAGATTTTTAAATTATGCATTAAAAGTGATAATATAATTTAAGCTTGTATTTGATGAATAATTTAAATTTTTAGCATATGTTTATGTCTACATATATGTGTGTGTGCGTGTGTATATCTATAAACTTAGGGTGTTTAAAATTGAACTTGTAGGCAATGCTGTTGGCCAGACACAAGTCTTGACATGTTTATGCAGCTATCCGATGCAGAATTGTGTAATCCAATTCAGTTGTTTCACTAATACAGCCTCATTTTAATATTGATGTTAGCCAGAATCGCATTTTCGGTCTTTGAGTAACTGTGAAGTGTTAGCAATTTTCTATCTGACCTAAACAATATGGGAAACCCATATGCTGCCATATCTACATATCATCTTACTAGATTCAAACTGATGATCTAAAATTCGGAAATGTCCGAATTTGCCGAAGTCCCAAGGATTTTGAATCTTGGACTTTGTACTGTATTACATTATGCGCATTTGTTTACATTTTTCAGGATTATTAGACCAGAATTATTCCAGCGTAGAGGAATCTTATGACATAATGTAATTAATTTAATCCCTGTGAAATGCCATATTAAACAAAATCGCGTTACTCAAATGTACAGATACATGTGATATACTAAAATTTATTATTTGTACTTGATGAAATCTAATAACTTTTCGAGTGAACTCTATACCATTAGAATATTTAGACACCGGGGAAATAATTTATTTCTTTATTAATTTTTTGGAAAACTTTTGTAATAGGAATGTGACAATTATTCTTAATTTTACTATCAATTACATTTTAGTTAAACCTTACCTAGCATTTTTGGCTTATGTGATAATATTCACTGAAACCAAAAAGTTATACAAATAAATAGTGGCATACAGCAGTTTTAAAAATAGGAATTTTATCTTAATCATAAGGCTATTGGAGTGTGCTCTGTATTGCTGCTGTGTCTTACTAAGAAATAGTTCCTACTCTGCTTTTGAAAGCTTAGCTCAGTTGAGGTGCCGTTGGTAAGGACTTTATGAGTATAAAGATAGTATAGCTAACCATAAGTATTTTGGGTACTTGTGTTTAATGCAACTACCTTTATAGAAGTCACCAAATTTTCAGAATGTGCCAAACTCTGGCAACCATGCACATAACCACTCTTCCAGCAACCATGCTCATAACAATCCATAATCTTTCAGTTAAGCAGTGCTGCCATTTTTTTGTGCATCCTTTTTTTTATTCCATTTTCCAATGGTTTTTATAAATGCATCATGATATTTGTGCATTAAACTTAGTTTTAAAATACGAGCTTGTGGAATTTGTCAGCAATGGAAGAAACTGCGATAAAATTTCTGCAGAAATACAAAATTTTGCTGAACATTTTCTAAAGGGAACAATAAGAAAGTGTGTTTCCTAGACAGTGTCTGTTGCTGAGGTTTGCATAAAGCTGAGGCTGTGCAATTATCTGATATTTTTTTAAGTGAAAACAGATCACTTTTTATTTCAGAAGAAGAATAGCAGAGGAAAAAAAATACAGTAAGATTTGAAGAAGAATGCAAGTGTTTTATTTTCTTAATGTATCACGTAATCTTTATTTAATAATTAAAATTTCTATTTTAAATTGCTAAAGTATGTTTTCTTTTCATATGTTGATAATATTTGACTTACTGTAAACATTGATAGTTTGCAAATCTTTCTTAAAAAAAAAAAAAATTTACACCTGATAAGTAACTTCTACCTTTTCATCCGTAAAATATTGCCAGATTGCACCAGGGTGGCTGCATTAATATGCAAGTACTATATTTTGTTTTGAATTAACACCTTGTTTTGTAAATAATTGACATCTTAGCCACCATGGAAAAGTGTCTGATCTTGTAAGAATTTTTAATTTATTATTTGCTATGTTAAAATTTCAGTTGTAACCCACTAGGAGTGGCTAAAAAAATTTTACTTTGATATAATTGGCATGTTTTGGTAATTAGTATTTATGTGCAGTAACTTGCTAATCAATTAACTCTGCATATCTACCTAATAGGTTGAATATTTATTTATTTCACTTTAACAAAGTTGTAGGCATGTCGTGATATTCCATTCTCTAAATAAAGCTATTGAAAGAGAACAAGAATGTTAGAATTGCATAGCTGCAAACTCTTCCAGCTTTTCATCACATCTGGTCTTCCAGTAGCTACAGAATCTTTTAATTTCTAGCCTTTATCAAGAAAAATGTTTTGCAGCAATAGATGAAATTTATTGAATTAAATGCAAAGCTGATTACCCATCCCTAGTGATTTTCAGCCTTATGAAATTTTATGTGGCCTGAATTTTCTTAATCTGCAGATATTTATAGAACTTTTTATGAAGATTAAATAAACATTTAATTATGTAATTCTTGGGTTTAATTAGGTTTTACATTACTAAATTGTACATTACAAGTTTATCTGTACAGTAGTATGTACATTAACCCCCTTAGTGGCATCACTGCCTTTATCCAGTCATGAGATTTTCCCCCCTCTTGATATATATTAGATTATAATTTAAAATATTTTGCTTTCTTACTTTCTTTAATAATGTGAATATCATCATAATGAATAGAAGTTTATGAAACCAGAAACTAGAATAAGTAATTATAAAAGTTTAGCTAACAGCAGCCACTTAAGTACAGGCCTTCATGAACAGATCCAAAAGGCTGTGCCAGTCAGAGGCACACATTTAATTTTATTTCATTGTATTTAAAACTACTTTGATAAATAAAAGCTTTCCTTCCCTACTTAGGATTTTGTAATTATAAAAGTGTAAGATGATTACAAGATAAAAGTAACTGAAGAGCATAAAATTTAGGCTTCATCAAAATTAAAGATAATAGCAGAAATAAAACATAACTGATACTTAATAAAACATTATTAATAAAAATTGGTACAAAAGCATTAATTAGCATAAGCTACAATGTTGGGCAGTTGATTATTTGCAAAATATTGAAATTCAAACCAAATGTATAGAAATTGGAAAATGATAGAAAAATCACCTCACGTGGAAAATGTTTTCTTTAATCTGGTGTATGGACACCTCGGACAGATGTGCATACCTCACATTTTGATTTCATAAACTTTTCCAAAGTGTTCATCAAGTCTTGTGGAATTGCTTGCCACTCTTCTGAAAGTGCATTTACCAGCTTCTGGAGGGTTTGGGGAGGAATTTGATGCACTGAAATTCAGTGCCATAAAGCATCTCACACATGCTGAATTGGGTTCAAGTTGGGTAAGTAAGGTGCCCAAACAATTTTAGTGATATCTTCTGTTTGCAAGTATTCTGACACCACATATGCTTGATGAGGCTGAGCATTGTCATCTATTAGCAAAAACTCTGGGCCAACAGCATCCCTAAACAGTCTTAACTTGTGGCTACAATATCTTGTCCACATATCTTCGAATGGTTACAGAACCTCCATGAAAGATATTGCATTTGTCATGATTCCTTCCCAAACCATTAAACCGTGGGTGTGGAAACGGATGGTTCATGGTCAAGGGAAGGCAAGTTGTATGTTCCTTCCTCTCTCCAGATCAAAACATATCTAGAATAACTTTTCAGACTGTATTTGTACTCGTTAGTAGACTATAATTGAATCAGACAATCAAGGGTACATTGAACATGATGACGTCAAGTTTAAACAGGCTGCTTTGGAAGCTGGAATGAATGAGACACAAACCATTGGTTTTTCTCACATACAGCCCAAACTCATTAAGCCTTCGTGCAGCAGTAGAACAAGTAATTCAAGTTCCTGTGGTGGCCTGAAGGTGTAACACCATATCTCTTGTAGTTGCTTCGCAGTTTCTTCGAGCCGACAATGGCAGAAAACGGTCTTCCAATGCAGTTTTTGCTCATGGTCGCCCTTTACCAGGCTGTCTTATTAACTGATCCAGTCTTAAAAAGTGGCTCCAAACTCTTGATATGGCACTTTGAGGGAATATTGAAATCCATTTGTGTTTGACCTCCCTCGATTCTACCAATTATTTGCCACCTTTGACCTTCACTTGAATGATGCCTTTGAGCCATAATTACTGAATACTGATACTTAGAAACCACATTCAATTTTATAAACACTGCAGACTGGATGTGTTAATGACTCAATATGTGTCCATTGCGCACCACATTGTCAATAATCAAATTGTATATTTCCGGTGCTAACATATGCACGGAAGGGCAATTTTGTGTTCAGTTGTACTTAATTAACATGAATAATTATAGCATTGAACTTTGGTTGCAGCATTAACTTAGAGACCATATTTTTTCTCATTACCCTTTAATTTTGATGACCAATAAATTTTACATCTGAATTATCTTGTGAATAGTTCAGTAATCTAAATCATGCATTTTACAGTGAATTTAATTTGGGAGATTTTTTGAAATGGTGTCGTGCAGCCTGAAAACTTCCTGAAAACTTATGGTTTTTTACATGCAAGTTTCACACCTCTAGTTTTTTTTTTTTTTTTTTTTTTTTTTTTTTTTTTTTTTTTTTTTTTTCCCAATTTGAGGTTTGGCAACCATTATTACAACATGGAACTATATCAATATACTATAAAGCTTCATCTGCTTAAATGCAATTCTAAAGTAATTCAAAATTAACAACCTTGAAAGTTCATAATATTTATCTGATGTTAAATGTTTACTGCTGAAGTGAAAAAAATACATTATTATGGGAAATAAAACTATTTATTCCAGACATGATTGCATACATCATGGCAAATTAAAAGCATTAAAAAATTTTAAACTAAAATAGACGTTCAAATCACTTCTACAGTACATTAGGGGAAAAGGACCTCGGTTATGTGAAGCCCTTAATACTGTTGTAAATGCCCCAACCCCTTGAGACAATCCAAGGAAGCAAATTCCCACCGTCAACCCAGAGGGACAATGTTGCACACAGTAAAAGTTTATAGTACACTAGTCCGTGGCGGTTGGCTGGTAGTAACTTACAAGGAGAACAAAGTTAGGTCAAAGACTGCCTCCCAGTGAAGCCAAGAGAAGCCAAACTCCCAAGAACAACTTTCAGTATCAAACTATGTAATGTCCCCAAAACCAAGGGGCAGACAAGACGGTACCAGTACGATTCCTGCCGAACTTACCACTGCATAAGTGATGATTCTAGTCACTATGAAGTCTGATAATGTACCTCGGGCCCAAGTCTGTCTAAGTACCTCCAGTCAGCCCCTGCAGAGGGAAATCACTTTTACAAAATAAAGAAAAAAATAAATTTTACATTGAAACATAATCTCAACCAAGACTGTTATGAAGGTAAACTAAAATCATTTGTTTTTGAATAGGATTCTGCAGCATCTATGAAGTGAAATAAAATATAAATATTAATACTTTATAATTTACTGAAAGTGTGAAAGATAAATATTTCTTTCAGAACAATTGTCTAATAATTCTTCTTTGTCTTTCATGTATCATTTTATAATTTTTATTATGTGTTGTATTTGATTATATAGAATAACTAAATATTTCTTTGCAGGTATTTTTTGTTTATTTTAATTTTTGCATAATTTGTTAAGGATATCTTGTAAACCAAACCTAATGTTGCTAGATGGTTATAAATTTTTTGAATTAACTTGTTTTACTGCTGTATATATTTAAAATGTTTTTATTGAATGATCCAACAACTTATGTCTGGTGATAAGTTCCATCTCCATTTTTTGTAATTATTAAACTTCATAGTAAATAATCTTTTATTTCTTAATGGCCTTAAAATAATCGTACTTTCAGGTTATTTGCACTCTTGGCTTCAACTTGCAATGGTATTGCCATTTTTTTTTTTTTTTTTTTTTTTTTTTTTTTTTTTTTTTTTTGTATTTTTGCATATACACACAACAATAGCTATCCAACACATATATGTATCACACATGTTTGAGTACATGCGCATTCAGATGTTTTCTATTAACTATTATTTTGCTGAACAATATCCACCAACTATAAGAATATGAATAATGACCTTACAGACTTTTATCACTTCAAAAATTTCTTGTTTCTTTTAAAATACTTTATTATTATTTTATGAAAAGAGCAGTGCCAGTGAGTCCTAAAATTAGCCAAATAGATGTTTTCCATCAATTAATAAAATCACCAGTTGCATTTTCATGGGATTAATCAGAAAGTATCAAGATAATTTTTATCATTCTTAAAATTATTAAAGTATTTAGCTACACAAAGTAATAAATACTTTGCAAAGATAACACATCTCACTTGAATGTAAAAGTAAAAGAAAATGTTACAAGGTGGTTTAAATTTTACATGCAGAATGTATTTTAAGAATCACTGTGACTAATTAAATTTCAGAAAAAATTTTATAAAGTAAAATTATAAAATTTAATTGCTATATGAAAATTGGTGAAAAATTAAAAATATGTCTTATGAATAATTGTTATCTATGGGCATTTGGTTAAAATAAAAAATAAATCAAATTTGATTTCTTATAATATGTACTTTATTTCAGTTTGGAAATACCTGTTATTGCAATTCAGTATTACAAGCCCTGTACTTCTGTAAACCATTTAGAGAAAAAGTTCTTGATTACAAAGCAAAGAATAAGAGGACAAAAGAAACTTTATTAACATGCTTGGCAGATCTCTTTTATAATATTGCCACACAAAAAAAGAAAACGGGGACAATTGCTCCAAAAAAATTTATTGCTAGGCTAAGGAAAGAAAATGGTATGTAATATTCTCGTACTTTTAGATATTGAATAATTTGCTGCTTGATCTGAATTTTGATTGATGAATTTTATTTGCTTTCATATGCTGGATGCATTCTTGGAATGAAAATTCATGTGTGAATATAAATAAAATGCATTTTCAGATATTTATTTTCTTGGTATTGAGCCTTTTAACATTTTCTATTGAAAATTATGATTGTGTGTTTCAAATGCATGATAATCTCTGTATGATACCATTTCCTCCTACTTTGGGTAAAGAGTATCATAAATATAAATCTGTTTATGTAAACCTTTCTGTTAAGTGAAAAAATAATTCAGAATTTTTCTTAAAATGTGTGAAAAGATTTTCTTACATTCTATTTTCTTTCTGCCCCTTCCATGTTACTTTGTGGAATTTGTCTGTCAACTTTTATAGCTTTTTTCTCTCATTGTTTTAAATAGAGGTTTTTGATAACTATATGCAGCAAGATGCTCACGAATTCCTGAACTATTTGCTGAATACTATAGCTGATATATTACAAGGTATGTGTTATGTTTTTTTATTATTCATAACATAAAACCATTATTAATAACATGTTGTTATTCATAACATTTATTATTATTCATAACATTTATTAACCATTATTCATAACATGTTGGATGAACGTAACCTATTCTTTGGTAAATAACAAAATTTTTAGTTATATGCACTTAGTTTAAATTTTTTTTTTTTTAATTTTGTAAGTAAAATTATTAAACACGAGAAAATCATTTACAGTAAAGGATACTTTAAATGTACAATTTTGACTTCAATTACCAAAGCTGCAGTAACTGAAAGTCAAATTTTTAGTAAAAGTATTATGGCATGACCCATGTTTTTTATTGCAGCAGAAAAGCAGCAAGGGAAAGTAAAGACAGCTAATCAGAATGGTGATCAACATCAAACATCCAAAGCTGAACCAACATGGGTGCATGATATTTTTCAGGGAACTCTTACAAATGAAACTAGATGCCTCAACTGTGAAACAGTGAGTGTTCATTAATTTTTCTCATTTTAAATTTCATATGAATTTTTTTTTTCTTTTCAAATACCTATGCTTACTTCTGTTCAGCATTCACTATACTGTCTTTTTACATTAAGCAGAGCCCACCAATAGCTGAGTAAGTAACACCGTTGAGCACAGGCTGCACAATCTGGGTTCATATTCTGACAAACAGGCTTCCTGCATGGGATGTTTTGTGGTTTACCACATGTGAAATATGAGGTAATTTTCCTTAGAAATTCCCCTATGAAGGTATCTCTCACTTTAGGTAGATAGCCTTAGTGCATTTTGCCATGATCTAATACATCCATTCCCCAAGGAATTGTACTCTGAATTCTTAAATGCTGATAATTTAAGCAGTAAGTCATGATGAAAAGTGAAAGAAATAAATTAAATTAAAAAGGCACCAAGCTTTTATTTAAAATGAATATGTAATTAATGAACTCAAAACAGAAAAATAATATATGTGCAGTTTTGTTAAAAGATTAACCATTTTTCTTAAAAATTCGTCTACAGTTTAATATCATGAATAATAAAAGCATGGAATGCCCTTGGTAGTAATACATAAATAATTAACACATACATTTAAGTGTTTATTATAATTCTCAGCAATTTATTTAGAAAATAAGGTCGATGGATATGGATAAGGCAAATAAATAAGTAAGAAAGACTTTATCATTTTTGTTTTTAAAAGAAGATGAAGATTTCTTTTATAATGTTTGAAAATTTCAAATCTTTAGAATGAATACATTTTTTAAAAATTTTTAAATTTTAAAGTCCCTTGAAGGAATATAATTATGTACAGGAATAAAATAAAGAAAATCAACTTTTAAACTGAAATGGTAAGAAAAGCATATATCATCTTATGAAATGGGAAAAAATTAAAAAACATTGGTAGATTTTACTGTGAATGATTTTAAATGCTAATCACTCTTTAAGCTGTGTTGTTCTTGAGATAGTAAATGCCAAGATATATGTACAGAAGTATTAATCATGTGATTTAATGACATCATGGCCTTGAAAGTAATGTCTGCAAGTGATGCGATGGCTGGAGGAACTAAATCCCCCCCTTTTGCTTAAGACTTTTTTAATAAATGTAGAAAATAACCCACTTAATCTTTTTATTAGTTTTCTTTTAACTAATAAAACTAAATAAAAGTTAACTAATAAAAGTTGTTAACTAAATAAAAGGTCATAACAAGGACATCTTTGGAATATGGTGATATGTAAGTATTGCTAGGAGAATGAGCATTTGCTTTGGTGCTTAAAATATGCCCTTCCTATTCTTATTATTAATAATCTTTTTCTGAATTCTTAAGTTTTTCCCTTTTCTTTTTCATATTTCATTCTACTGGTTATTTTATTTTATCTTATCAACCTATATGGTATTATGCATAGGGAAATCTTTACTTTTGTGGCTGTCCTTTGACTTAGTAACTAAGATTACTGAACAACAGCAGTTGGTTTCTGGTTTGATTCTTAGCGATTTGGCTGGATGCATGTGAGGGAGGGGGGAGGCTTCCAGTTTTTCTCATGTGTAACACGAATTTTCTTAGAAAATCTTCAAGGAAGCTATTCTTTGTTGATACTAGCATTCAAATGCTTTGTTGAAATCAACTAATCAAATAAATAACCTAAGAGTCAAATTTGAGGTTTCAGTTTTTGAACTTCTGTGTTTTAGTAGATGTTTTATTTGTCCATGTTTTAAATTTTTTACTTATGCGATATATATCAAGTTAGTATGGCAGTTTTTTTTTTCCTTGAAGTGCTCAATAGATAATTTATTTAACATTGTCTTTCAGTGATTTTTAATTTTGAAGTTCATGGAGAAAATTTTTGAAAAATTAGTTTCTTAAAAATTAATGAAATATTTTGGTACTTCCTGATTACTGTATTTCATCATGTATGTTCTACCTTTTTTTAAGTAATTTTATCATCTGAAAGTAAAGAGAGGAAAATTATATGAATAATCCAATTTCTTAAGAACACAGTTACAGTAAGAAAATAACAGATGGAAAGTAGTCATGGGTAAACTACTGGTAACTATCAGAATATTATTTCTTTAAAAGAAACCTACATTCCATTTAGAATACTGGACATTATAATATCTAGTGGATATTAAGCTGGTATCTGACAGTAGTGCAACATATCTGGCTCAGTTACCTTTTAAAATCCCAGGGGCACCTCACAGGAATAAGTCTTGACCACAGTTTCCAAGCATGGATTGGAAGAACAAAGGAGAAGGGTTTGAACAGTAGACCTGGATTTTGAAAGATTGAACACACCAGCAGGTCACATGTTCACATGTTTGGAAAGTTTCTTAAGTGTAAGAACACCTTCCTATGTCCATGTAGCTTAACAAATAATTGGTACAAAATATATTTTGAATAATAAAAATGAAAAGAAAAAAATGAAAGAAATGCTGATACAAAAAATGCAAATACAAACTGAATACATAGAATAAAACTGAAAAGAATGCAGTTTACCATTAAACTAGCCCTTGGTAAACTGTGTACAATAGAGGAAGCAGAAAATTATGTGAATATTTAAAAAAAAATTCAGAAGGGGAAATATGAAGGGAAATACAGTTGTGCTCCTGATAAAATGGTTTGAACTCATTGCTGACTTGGAAGAGCATTTGCAAACTTGTTGCCGACAGTTTTTGAACAAGCTAATATAAGGCTTGTTGAGGCATGGCCATTTTCAAAATTCCATACAAAAGTAATCAATGAATGTAAAATTAAAAAGAAATAAATGTCAGTAATAAAACACTTACCTTTTTTCGAGAAATCTTTTTTCAGATGCATGCTATGTGCATACCTGAATTGGCACATAAATACTTTTTTCCCATATCATGGGTTGCCACATAACTGTTTTAGGAAAACAGTGCTTTTCCTCATGAATAATACTTCATGACTTTCAGTGGTGGTGCAGAAAATCAGGAAGTGATGCTTTTTATTGGTGTATGATTTAAACCAGTATTTTAGAGCTTTCTTAATCTGTTTAAAATCTGTTTCTTTTACTCTAATAAAAATGATTTAAAAACACACATCTAATAATATCACATTTTAAAAATCATTTCTCATCTTGTTGCAGATATCTGAGGGTTATGTGCTCGAAAACCTACAGTGATGATGTGAAATCGTAAATAATATTGAATGCTGTATAACACAATATTCGTGCAATATAACATGAATACAGTAGAGATTATTTAATAATGCCAAAGTAAAACTTAAAATTGGGCAAAATACCTTATGTTTGGCATAGATTTGATTGAAACTGGCGATTACAAGAGTGAATAAATATGAGTCCCTCTTCCCAAAAAAAAAAAAAAAAAAAAAAAAAAATTATGGATCTGTTAGAATTTATTTTGCTCCTGGCAGAGAGGGACCTGTACCTGTAAGCCTTCAAAATTAATAGAATTTCAGTTAAATCTGCTGTAAAGACAAGGTTGTTCTTTTGCTTAATTTTGAATTTTAGCTGGAATTTAGCTCCCCAGTAGAATACACAGCAGAAAAAGGGTATTTTTTTTGCACTAGTGTTAGCCAAACTTCATGTTAGAATTTGGAAATATTCAAGAACTTAAAATGGAAAGGGTGCAATTAATAATTTATATTGTTTTAAAATTATTAAAATAGTTTTAAATAGAAGAAAACATTTCAAGTAAATTAATAACGATTTTACATTCTCTCAGGACAAAAGAGCTCAGAATATTAATTTTTTAATAAAAGTTAAAATTTGAATATTTCTTGATTTGGAAATGAAAATTTGAGTTTTCTGTTTTAGCAGGTTTGAAAAATTATGAAAATTTTTAGCAGATGCATGAGTAAGAACATGTTCATGTATATTTTAGTTCATCTCAAACCTACATGGGATTTTAAACATGCAGTTTAGTTATTAAAAAAATTCTTATATGGCCATGAGTTCAGGAAGAAGCATTTTTACAGTATACAAATTTTATATTTTTGTGTGATATATTGATTGATTTTTTTCCAAGTAGAAAACCAAGCAGTTTGTTCTAATAATAATTATTAACTAATTTTAATGAGAAAAACTCAAATTTAAAGAAGTCATAGTAGTTTTTTCTATAATAGAAAAAGCCATTCCTTCAAGTAAAGAAGAGTAATGCAATAACATGAAAAATTAGACTAGCAGTGTTTCTTTATTCTTAACTGTTAAGTACTTAGCAGTCCTTTTAAAATTATAAAACAATAATACAGTACATGCTGTAGTAAAACTGTAGTTATTAAAGAAATTTTACAGAAGTTATTAAACAAAAACTAGCTATAGTTTAGTTGGAATTTTTTTTATTATTTACAGTTGACTAATATTAAGGCCAACATATGGAGGTCACATCTAATTTTAAATATGATTTATTGGGTCTGAGAATAAATTCTTCATAGTTTATAGATGTAAATTGAGATCTGATGATTTATGTCAGCAACGAAGCTGTAATGACGGAATTTTTGACTAATAAAGCAGGGTTGATTTTTATTTATTTGACTATAACAAAGTATGTGATGACTGACTGCCTACGTAGAGGGATGTCCTTGGGGAGAACTTTCTAAAGAAAACTGCATCATACCCTTGTTACATATAAGGATAACCATAAAAATGGCTATGCAGTTATCCTGTTCACCTTGATTTGAATGCATGTCAAATATCCAGCATTCAGTGGTTTTTCTCACTCTGCTGTTGGTGGGCTTCTGGTAAAGACAGAAGCATATAAAGGCAGAGCCTTTCAGAGCAACTAATGTGTTCAAACATTTAAAAAGGATGAGCAGTTATTTTTTACTCTGTTGCAGCAGAGGTTATACTGAAGTCACAACTGAGATGTTGAAGTAGCAGCTTGCTGCAGCATTTTTCAAAACCGAGAAACATCACTTTGATGGCCTTTCTTGTGTTGGAAACATCAGGAGCATCAAGCTGGTATTCTTGCATGTGAATATCACATCAATCCTTTAATCTATGTTTTAATTTGTAGC